ACCATTTTCTGTCGTTTATTATTCCTTGTCATTTCTCCCATAGGCGACTGAATCGGAAGTTCTAAGACAATCGCGATAACAGGCGCACTTCCGCATTTTAGAATAAGGTCAATATACAGTTCCACAAGCTGCTTCTGGGGGTCCATTATAATCTTACTAGCCGTGTTAGCGATCTTGAGTGTGATTAAATCTCAGCTTTTTCTGTTTGTCCAGCAACATCGCATCAGTATTAATCCAACTTTGAATGGTATTGCCTTTTACACTGTTGAGCCTATTGGTAATGACTCTAAAATATGATAACCAGGTAAAAGTTGGAGGAGTGGATGAGACCATGGTCAAATTGGCTAATTCCAGCACGTTGTATATTTCTGAATCATTATTGTGCATCGCCCCAGTCAAATAAACCTAAAAAATTCAATCAAAATGAATGAGATGAAGGGGAGAGGGCGGGATTGGGAAGCTGTTGGTGTAGGAGAGCTGCCATCTTAACAGCTTTTTGATGACGACAGTGGAGGCTGAATATGAAGAGAGTCTCTGTGCTACTCACCAGCTTGTGTCAAAGTGCTCCGTTATTAAAGATAAGATTGAGTGCAAGGGACACATCAAGGCTAACAGCATCAGTCTCCTCAAATCTGGAAAGAAAAAGCAATTTTAGTACTGTTTGAAGGATTTATCCATGTCCTTGTGAAAAGATTTTTTCATAACTGTATAAATATGCTTTTATTGCTTTCACTGTGCTGAAGACTGTTCTATTGAACACCGCAAGAACACACAGAAATGGAGAATGTTTGCTGAGAAAGTCTAGAGTTTACAATGAATGTGCTTTAAAAACAGAACCTTCGGCATTCATGAATCCCTTCTTTCCACAAAATGCTGGAAAATGAATTTTACAGTGCATCCGGAAAATATTCATAGCGCCTCACTTTTTCCACATGTTTTTATGTTGCAGCGTTATTCCAAAATGGATGAAATTTATTGATTTCCTCAAACTTCTACACACAATACCCCATAATGACAATGTGAAAAAGTTTTTTGAAATTGTTGCAAATTTATTAAAAAAAAAAAAAAAAACTGAAAAGTCACATGTACATACGTATTCACAGCCTTTGCTTAATACTTTGTTGATGCACCTTTGGCAGCAATTACAGTGTCTTAAGTCTTTTTGAATATGATGCCACAAGCTTGCCATACCTGTCTTTAATAATTTTCGCCCATTTCTCTTTGCAGTACCTCTTAAGCTCTATCAGGTTGGATGTGAAGCGACGGTATACAGCCATTTTCAGATCTCTCCAGAGGTGTTCAATAGGATTTAGGTCTGGGCTCTGGTTGGGCCACTCAAGGACATTCACCGAGTTGTTGTGAAGCCACTTCATTGATATTTTGGCTGTGTGCTTTGGGTCATTGTCCTGCTGGAAGATGAACCGTCGTCCCAGGTCAAGAGCACTCTGACGCAGGTTTTCATTCAGGATGTCTCTGTAGGGGGGCACCATCTCAGTTCCTTAAAAACAGTAATATTTATTTAGTAATAATAACAAAAACAGTGTATATAAAGATTTAGTGATATTATGTTAATAAGTACATTTAAAAAAAAGCATTTGATGGTGAACGCAAAAACGTGATGTATTTTGTTTTCCGTCCCCATGTCCACTTACGTTTGCAACTGCTAGCAGCATAAGATTATTATAGATGCAAGTTGCTCTATGCCAAAGAAAAGACAACTGCAGTCTGGAGCCCAAAAAAAGTACCTAATGAATCCTGTGCATCACTTTCAGGTAACTTATGTTCATGAATCTGAAAAACATTTTTGGTTGTTCACGTCAATTAGTGAGGCTAACGTTTAACTTCTCCACAACTATGTTTGCGCAGCTACATGCACTGCACATTTATTTCCCTGTATGTATTAATTATTTTAATTCAGCGCAGTTATCTTTGTTTATTGTTTTGTCTATTTTTATACATTTCTTGTTATGTAATGTAATGTGTATTTACATACAGTTGAAGTCAGAGTTATTTGCCCCCCTTTGATTTTATTTTATTCTTTTTTAAATATTTCCCAAAATGATGTTTAACAGAGCAAGGACATTTTCACAGTTTGTCTGATAATACTTTTTTTTCTGGAGACAGTCTTGTTTATTTTATTTTGGCTAGAATAAAAGCAGATTTAATTTTTTTGGAAAACATGTCAAGGTCAAAATTATTAGCCCCTTTAAACTTGTTTTTTTTTTCGATAGTCTATAGAACAAACCATCATTATCCAATAACACCTAATTACCTGCTTAGTTAACCTAATTAACCTAGTTAAGCCTTTAAATGCCACTTTAAGCTGTAAAGAAGCCTCTTAAAAAACATCTAGTAAAATATTATTTACTGTCATCATGGCAAAGATAAAATAAATTAGTTATTAGAAATGAGTTATTAAAACTATTATGTTTAGAAATGTGTTGAAAAATCTCTCTGTTAAACAGAAATAGGGGGAAAAAATAAACAGGGTGGGCTAATAATTCAGGGAGGCTAATAATTTATTTATTTATATATATATATATATATATATATATATATATATATATATATATATATATATATATATATATATATATATATATATATATATACAGTGTATGTATGTGTGTGTGTGTGTGTGTGTGTGTGTGTGTGTGTGTGTGTGTGTGTGTGTGTGTGTGTGTATATTACACCACCTCCAGTGTGTAGCATCCACTTGGATGATGCGATGGCAGCCACACTACAACAGCGCCAGTGCCCTTACCACACACCAGCTATAGGTGGAGTAGAGAGAAAGGGATAGAGTCAATTCAGTGGATGGGGATGATTGGGAGGCTATGATGGTTGAGGGTCGAGAGGGAATTTGGAAAGGATACCAGGGTTACACCCCTACTTTTTACGAGAAATGTTGTGGGATTTTTAACGACCACAGAGAGTCAGGACCTCGGTTTAACGTCTCATTCGTAAGACAGCGCTCACTGACAATATAGAGTCCTCATCACTATAATGGGGCATTAGGACCCACTTAGACCGCAGGTTGAGAGCCTCCTGCTGGCCTCACTAACACCACTTACAACAGCAACCTAGTTTTCCCATGTGGTCTCCCATCCAGGTACAGGCCAGGCTTCAGTGTAACCAGTCTTGGGCTGCAGGGTGATATGGCTATGGCATTTCCCTCTTGCAGATGTTCTCTCTGAGAGCTGCCAAGTTAATTTCGCTGTATCTCTTTAGTCTTTATATCGGTGTATTGGTGTTTTTAATTGGCCAGTTTTTCATTTTCTGTACATTACTATATAAAAATAACAAAAACTGACTGATATTCTGTGATTTCTGAAAAAGTGAATAATATAAAATGGGTGAAATAACTAAGCCACAGGCCATAAAACATTTTATTGGATTGATTATTTAATGTTTTTTTTATGTTAACAAAAAGTTTTTGTTCAAAAGTACAATCATTTATTCTTAATAACCACAAACATCTTTGATTTATACTGACAGTAAGGCTCAGATTTTTGTCACCATAAAATATAGTGCAAGTTAAATCCACATTTTGGTTGTAATTTGTAAACATTATGAAGGGTGCTTCACTAGCCCATTGTCTTAATGGTAGGTCATGCGTTTTTTCTTTAAATTACTCATTTCTACTGCATTGTACATGGAGGTTCAATGCTGAAATGTCACAAAAGGTAAAGTAGCATGATCCAGCACTGCTCCAGAGGCTCCAGCAGCTGCTCAGGTACAAACACAAGATACAGCACTGAGGACTGTCTGTCTCTACAGGTGCAGAGAGGGTTTTATTCCTAACCTTTTGTAAATGCTAAAATTAACAATGCTTATGCAGACTACATGTTCGTGTTTTTAATGTAAATATTCGAATGTTTAAGTATAAATTTGAGTGTGTATACAAGTTTAAAGACATGTGTTTGTGTTTTTGTTGCTGTGTGGGGACACCACAGTTAAAAAAAATGCTTAGGGGACCCTTTTGGCCAGCAACGGACCTGTTATGTTTATTTTGGGTGAATTATCCCTTTAAATCTATGGTTCTTTAAAGAACTTCTCTCTAAAGAGATCTTTAGGTAACCAAAATGGTTCCTTCATGTCGTCACCTTTTGGCTTTACATGATACCCCTATTTTACAAGTGCATCTTTGATTTGCAGACAGAGTCAGCGCTAGACTCGGAAAATGACGAAAGAGCGCGGTACAAACGTCTACTTGTGAAGACGAGGTTTAATTCAGCAGATGCAGGTCAATCTCTTCGTGTTTTCCTCTTGCGCGCTCTTGGAAGCGCGTGCACCGCTTCAGCACCTTGGAGAGCTCCGCGGCTTCCCAGGAACGTGCAGCCAATCAACGCTCCACTCAGGCAAAGCCCGAGAAAATCATTCATGCGTTAAATAGCAATCATTCCAGTGTGTTAAAACTGGAAAGGGTTATTTACATTAAGCTCTTTTTGCAAGAATGACAAACGTAAGCCGTTTAAACAAATTCGAAACGACATCATAATATTTGTTATAAACTTTCACACTATGTTAAAAATAGATAGCACAAGTGACATCCTTGATGTGTGGAAATATGTTCCTCGATGAGCCTATCATTGCATGTTATCATGGAATGGGTCTTAATGCTTGCAGTCTTAATATATAAATTGTCACATGACGTTGGCGTAATGAGGTAACCATAGCAACAGTTTGCTTTCCCTTCAGTATCGACAAGGGGACTTATTTTGCAATGTAATTATCAAGACTTGAAAGTTTGCAACTGCGACAGGTGTAAAAATCCGATATTGGTTGCATGGAAAGAACCTGTAGATAAAGAGCAGATGCTGTTTTCAAAGGTCTTCGTCTACTTCACACACTGTGTGTGAGAGCGCGCCTTTGCTATTGTTGCAGAGCTCGAGACGTGTTTTGTACTTTGTGAATGATTCGCGTCGTGCGCGCGAGGCAAAACACAGGCGCGCTCACCAAGGATCGATGCTCCTGTCTAGTTGCGCTCTGATTGGGCGAGTGCTGGAAATGTGTCAGGCATATGCTCGCCGTGGGCGGGAGTAGACATGTGTTTATAAAGCTCGGTGGGGCGGCGACAGTGTGTTAAGAAGCGAAAAGAGAACGCACGACAGAGAAGCCCGTCAGTTCACCCGATGTTAGGTAGGGGAGGCGGGTCGCCCTCTGCCGCTCCGTCTCCTCACCTGTATGGATGACCACTACAACCTCATCGACTCACCCTCAGCCAGCCACCGGGGGAACAACGCCGACAACCACGGGTACGCGGAGACCGAGAAGGACATCATGACGGTGGTCGCCTGCGATAACATGCTGGAGGAAACGGCGGCGCTGCCCAGTCACCTGTCGCTGGATCGCTACGAGCCCGACCACGAGTGCTGCGAGCGGGTGGTCATCAACATCTCCGGGCTGCGCTTCGAGACCCAGCTCAAAACTTTCAACCAGTTCCCGGACACGTTGCTCGGGGACCCGAAGAAAAGGATGCGCTACTTTGACCCGCTGAGAAACGAGTATTTCTTTGACAGGAACCGACCGAGCTTCGATGCCATTCTCTACTACTATCAGTCCGGGGGGCGTATTCGCAGACCCGTGAACGTGCCCATTGACATCTTCTCGGAGGAAATCCGCTTCTACCAACTTGGAGAGGAAGCCATGGAGAAATTTCGCGAGGACGAGGGCTTCATCAAGGAAGAGGAGCGACCTCTGCCAGACCACGAATTTCAGAGACAGGTTTGGCTTTTGTTTGAGTACCCCGAGAGCTCCGGTCCTGCGAGGGGCATCGCGATCGTGTCCGTTCTGGTCATTTTGATTTCCATTGTGATTTTCTGTTTGGAGACGCTGCCCGAGTTTAGGGACGACAAGGACCCGACTACTGTGTCTCCTATCGCAAACGTCACTGGCCCGTTCGTGTCCAGCACTTTCACAGACCCTTTCTTTGTAATCGAGACCCTTTGCATCATCTGGTTCTCTTTTGAACTGCTCGTGCGCTTCTTCGCGTGCCCCAGCAAGGCTACTTTTTCCAAAAACATCATGAATATCATTGACATTGTGGCTATTATTCCCTATTTCATCACTCTGGGGACGGAGCTGGCTGAAAGACAAGGCAACGGTCAACAAGCCATGTCGCTGGCCATCCTCCGAGTGATCCGTCTGGTGAGGGTCTTTCGCATCTTCAAGCTCTCACGTCACTCTAAAGGCCTGCAGATCCTTGGCCAGACTCTGAAAGCCAGCATGAGGGAACTGGGACTCCTCATCTTCTTCCTCTTCATTGGGGTCATCTTGTTTTCCAGCGCCGTCTACTTTGCTGAGGCGGATGACCCTACATCCAGCTTCAGCAGCATCCCTGATGCTTTTTGGTGGGCTGTGGTAACCATGACTACAGTGGGCTATGGAGACATGCATCCAGTGACCATCGGAGGGAAGATTGTTGGCTCTTTGTGCGCCATCGCCGGTGTATTGACCATTGCGCTGCCCGTACCTGTCATTGTGTCTAATTTCAATTACTTTTACCACCGGGAGACCGATGGGGAAGAGCACGCACAATACCTGCACGTTGGCAGCTGTCAGCATCTCAACTCCACAGAAGATCTGAAACGGACACAAAGCACGTCCTCCCTCAGCAAATCGGAATATATGGTCATTGAGGAAGGAATAAATAGTGCTTTCAAACAGCCAAACTACTCCAACCAGAACAATCAAAACTGCGTGAATATTAAAAAGATTTTCACAGACGTGTAAATCGTGTACAGTGCCAGACAGTCGTACAATAATCACTACGATGATGGCACCTCTGCAAACGCAAGGTGCTGCGTTATTAGGGTACAGCGGGGCTAAAAGTCCTCCACAGCGGAGGACAGTGTGATTTTATTGTTCCGGTCGCAAAATACGATATTTTTATGGAACATAGAAAGAGAAATATAATTTGTATAAAAGTAAATGTTAAAAGTAGCTTGGTTTAAATGAAAAAACAACATAAACAAGGCAGCTAGAGGGAAGAATTTGTCATCGTATATGCAAATACTTTTAATATAGCAAGATATTTTAGAGTAACATTTAAGTGTTTACCCTACAGTTGAAAAGTTTGGGACTGCTTTGATTATTCAAGTTATTTTTAGAGAAGTCTTTTCTGATCTCAAATACACTAAATCAGTGATATTGTAAAACTATAATTCTGCTGATTTGAATAGCAGTGCTGCTTCATGTTTTTGAGTAGTAGCTGTTATACATTGTCAATCAAAAGTAGCATTCGTTTTTTTTTTATTCATTAAGGACATGATCAAACATTTATATATACAGTTGAAGTCTGGATTATTAAACCCCTGTTTATTTTTTACCCCATTTTCTGTTTCTGATGAGAATTTTTTTTTTTCAACACATTTCTAAACATAATAGTTTTAATAACTCATTTTTAATAACTGATTTATTTTATCTTTGCCATGATGACAGTACATAATATTAGATATTTTTCAAGACACTTCTATAAAGCTTAAAGTGACATTTAAAGGCCTAACTAGGTTAATTAGATTAACTAGGCAGGTTAGGGTAATTAGGCAAGTAGACAATCTAAAAATATATATAGCTTGAAGAGGCTAATCATTTTTACCTTAAAATGAGGTTTAAAAATAATTTAAAACTGCTTTTATTCTGACCGAAATAAAATAAATAAGACTTTCTCCAGAAGAAAAAACATTATCAGACATACTGTGGAAATTTCCTTGCTGTGTTAAACATCATTTGGGAAATTTAAAAAAAAAGAAAAAATATTCAAAGGGGGGCTAGTAATTCTGACTTCAACTGTATATACTGTACATACTAGGGCTGCACAATATTAGAGAAATCTGATATTGCGATATTACATGTATTAGATGGTTTGAATAGCTCTGTTTGGCTGATTTCTGTGGAGTCTAACAGTAATTAAATACAAAAATAGAATAATCACAATGCAAATAATGCTTTTCTTCCTTTGCGTTTGGCCTGTTTCTAGTCCAAATATCTACAAATTCTTAGATCAAGTAAAACTATTGTTTTGTTTTCACCTTTAGACAAAATTAATACTTTTTTCCCCTTAAAACAAGCAACATTATCTGCCAATGGGTAGTAAAATAATCTTGTTTTTGCTTTGAAATGTACATATTTGGACTCGAAACAAGACAAAAATTCTTAGTTAGAAAAAGTTTTTGTTGTTGATTAAATCGTATCAATTCTGTATAAATAGCTTAATATAATAAATGTTTGTTACACCTCCAAACATAATTTTTGGAGCTCAAATGTTCTAAACTCTCTTGAAATCCTCAGTCTCAGGCGTTAAAAACACATGCAAACTCTACAAATCACCCGTGTTCTGTGGCTCCTGGTCAGTTATATTTTAGACTCAACATTACGTATCTTGCAATGTGACTAATGCAGATACGCACATTGCGATATCGATGCTGAAACGGTATATTGTGCAGCCCTATATATATAAAGTAAAACACATCACAAATTCCACAGAAAATCAATAAATTAATCAAATTAAGCAGACAAAATTGTTTTAGCAATAATAATAGTGACCCTCTTTATGAACTGAGAGCAAAACTAATAGGATAAGAAGGAAAGTGATTATAGTTTGAGCAAACAGACAGCATATCAGACTGATTTCTGAAGCATCATGTAACACTGGACTGGTGATGCTGTTAATTTAGCTTTGGAACACATGAATAAATCACATTTATTATAAATTCACAAAGAAAACAGCTAAAATAACACCACAATATTACTGTTTTGATTGTATGTTTGAGCCTTACAAACTTCTCACAGATCCCACTCATTTGAACGGTAGTATAATATCGATTTCAGCAAACTTGTAGCTATTTACAGTGTTTTATTTACTCAGTTTTAGAGTAACAATGCAAGTGCAGTCAGATAAAATAAGAGTCAGTTAGTCGCATAACAAGTAGCCAGCATCTTCATCCATTATGAAACTAACAGTGTTGTTTTAGTTAGGTTACTCTTATTCAACAGATACTATAGATAAAAATACCATCAGCAAAACGCATCTATTTCTGTTTGCAACATAAATCAGTCATTTGTCATTGCATACCTCATAAATCACACTTCAGAAGTGCACAAACAGGTGTTTAGTAAAGTACTGTGGTAGTTTTGGCTGCAATTACTTAGTATTCCGGGACTAAATAAATCACTTACCCTGGAGAGGCTTTTAGATCCGTTGTACCCTACATGTTAAGGACAAGCCAGCATATTAAATCAGTAAATCAGGGCGCTTTTTTTTTGTAGAAAGGTGCCAAACTCCGATTCACGTGTTGCATTTGTCTACAGCACGAAGGATAAGGTCAGGGACTAAACCGATAAAGCACCCACACTGCAAATATTGTGCTCGTAAGTCTGCGTTTGTTATCAGTGTTAACATATAATCATCATAATACGTTAGTATTCGCAATATCTTACGTTTCGTGGCAAAGTGAAACAACTAAATATGTGTCGCTGTTGATGTGAACAAACTGAAGATAATGCTGTGTTGATCATATGTATTTTGTTAAATATATACGGGTGATTTTTCAATTAGGGTGATTTTAAATATAGAAAAGTTTATAAATAAACCAAAAATCATATCTTAGGTTTAAAGTAATGGATGTTTAATTGCTTTATCCTCGTTTTAAGAGTGCTAAAATCAAGTTTTTAACTTCTCTTCTACAATACCTTTATCAAAAAAAGTGTTTAAATCAGGGAAATTTTACAAAGAACTTTAAAAAAAATTCATTAATTTACTGCTTGTGTGTGAAAACTGCCAGTTTTTATAAACAATAATGATAATTTTTGTAATTAGTTAACTTTTTTTAAGAAAATGTTTATACTTGGCTGTGATGGCTATGATCTCAACACCTTAGAACATAGATATTAACATTTGATGTTGCCTACGCTGTTGTTGTCTATTGGCGTAGATATATACACTAGATATCGCATTTGGATCCTGATCATGCATCAATAGCGCCTCCATATTTGTACAGTGCTCCCAGGACAAATGTCAATCAACCGCACTAGTCAAGACTAAATCCAATTTGAAGATGATGACTTAAGCGCTGTGTACGGGTGTAGTAACAAGCAAACAAAGAAAACAAAGCACAAAGGCAGAACATTTCATAGGTAAGATTTCGTTTTTACGTTTTTGTATTTTACAAACTTTTGTGCTCAACAAGTATTATTGATAATACTTACTGCATTCACCATAAGGCAAGCTAGCACCAATTTGCACTAAATTCGAGGCTTATGCTAGCTTTGTTGAATAAAATAAACAAACAATGTAAATGAAATACGACAACAAGAAGCTGATGCCAGAAACTTGTATTATAGTCAGTTAAGTGAAGTAACGGCTTCACAAATGAATCGCTCCCTCCGTTAGAATTAGAATTAGTTTACTTCAAGACACGGATTAGATCAAATTTAACAGGTAGGGAGGATAAAACATTTCTATGCACACAAACACGCTCTTTGTTGGCAATGCCCGTGCGGTCACTTATCCATCAATGTAGAAAATTGATGTAAAATTATCATTTTCGTAATTTAAAAATTATTTGCACACTGACCACTAGGAAAACTCCCGATCATAGATATATGTATATATGTTTATATATCTCTGGCTTTCACTTATTTCTAATGGAGGCAGTTATTCGTTTGTGAACGAATCTCTATTATGAACTCTATTATTTTAACCATCAATATCCCTGCGCCTCAATGTTCATAGCCACCTTTCTGATCAAAATGGTATATAACATTTGTAATATTCAATATATAGGGTGGGCTTTATGCACATTGAGGCGCAGGCACTGTTATGTTATCAGGCACCCTTATAAGTTACGTCAAATACTAGCCGTTACTTCACTTAGCTGACAATAATTGAAGTTTCTGCCATCGGCGTCTTGTTGTCAAGCTTCATTTCCATTGTTTGCTTATTTTATTCAACAAATTTAGTGAGAGTTGGTGCTACTTTGCCTTATGATCAGTGCAATAAGAGACTGTATTATCATTAGTAACGTTACTTTCTGAGCACAAAAGTTCGCAAAATACAAAAACAAAAAAAAAAAACGAAATCTTACCTATGAAATTTGAAATTTTCGGCCTTTGTGCTTTGTTTTTTTGTTTTTTTTTTTGCTCATTTTTACACCTGTACACCACACTAAAGTCCAGCATTTACAGATTGGATTTAGTCCTGACTGGTGTGGTTGAATGACTTTAGTCCTGGGAGCACTGTACAAATATGGCGGCGCTATTGACGCATGCTCAGGGCCTGTATGCGATATCTAGTGTATATATCTGTGATCGCAGAATAGCTATATGACATCATGATCTTAGTATAGATTTATATTAGATGTTATTATGATTTCATGACAAGCATTTTCTTGTATTTCTAATAAATTAGGTTATAAAAGTAGTAGGCCTACTTAAAAGTAGTAGAAAAAGTAGTGTCCCTAATTGAAGAATCACCCATACGTCTCAGTGCGGAGTCCATTTAAACGCAATGAATGTGGAAAAGTAACTATACGTTTTGTTAATAATGTAAACAAATGTGTGTCTATTGAATCTGACTTGCCTGTACCAAATGAAACTGGTTAAACGAGAATGAAAGACGATATATCTTTATTTTTGTGATAAAGTTACTCGGTGTGCGGAAACGTAGTCATCTTAAGATTAACTCAAATCACGGGTAGCCTGATAATAGTATGTTCGAGATTCCCCTCCAAACGAGACGTCGCAGTAGTTTGGAAACGAGAGGGGGAAAGGTGGTTTGGATGAAGGGGGAAATGAAGCACGTCGGACGCATCGTCTCCCAGATCAGAGACTGAAGGACTGAGAGATCACGCCTCGAGTCCGCCTTGTGATGCAGTCTCCATGGCGACTACAGTTTCCCCGGTAACCCCCGTTAATGTTACCATGACATCCTCCCCCGTTGTCAGAGCAACGCTCCAGATGGTTCACAAAGCCTGACTGGCACAACAGAGCACCAGAATTGTGATCAGAAAAGCATCTCAAGGCTTTATTGCCTTCCTTTTGCAGCCTTATACAAGTATTTAAAGAGGTCATGAACTGTTTTTTGTTTGTTTTGTTGATTTTGTAATGTTTTCTGAGGTTAATTTACAATGCTATCAAGGTTTTTACAACAATATGAAGCTTATTAGTTAGTTTATTTAAAAGTAGTTCTCCCACTCAGGCCTGTAGACAGGAGCAGTTCGGGTAGTTCGAAATACAGGCTCTAGTGTTTATTGGCACCCTTCATAGAAAGACTGAAAATATGGGAGAAATATGGGGAAATTCCTTTACGGGATGATAGTGGAATAGAACTGTAAAATACAGGAGAATCTCAGGAAAAACAGGAGGGTTGAGAGGTATGGAAATGAGCTGACCTGGGGTGCGTTTCCCAAACAACAACATAACCCTAGGCTGAACTATTATAGTATGATGCATCATTTGGGAAAAGAATGATGTAGTGACGAGTGTTTCCCAAAACTTTCTCTGTCACAACTCCATCGTTTGAAAAACGTTAGTTATAACATAAAACCCGCTTAATGACACTCTAAACAGGGCTCTTCTCTTCTTTAGAGAAAAAATGCCATAATTTCTTGCATAAAATTATATTGTTTTACACACACACACTTAGTTTTGGTTTTGGTAAAAACATGCACTCTCCATATTAACTATATATATGTAAACGGCACATATAGGGCCTGTGTTTCCTTTACAAACATTATTAAGAATATTCTTTATTTTATACTAAAACATAAAACCACTTAGCTAACATCTATGCTAATCTCATATGTAAATCAAATAAATTGTTAATGGTTGTACTTTACAATAGTAGGCTATGTATTATTATTAAGTAATATATATATATATATATATATATATATATATATATATATATATATATATATATATATATATATATATATACATATACATATATATATATATTATTATTATTATTATTAATATTATTTTTATTTTTTATTTTTTGCAGTCTACTTTTTAACAAGTTTGACACATTTAAACCACTGCAGAAATGTTCTAACCAGCAGGCCCATGTCATATACAGTAGGCTACAGATACATTTCTTATTAAGTAACCTACTATAAATTAAAAGCATTAACGTATGCTTTATATTTTGTTTTTATAAGCTTTTAGAGACGTAACGTAAATTCCGCTTTTCAAAATTAGGTCACCTATAGCTTTCATAATGAGCCATGGCTGTGTTCAAAATGACACCAATGTTTTCAAAATGTACTGCAAAGGGAGCGCAATTGTGAATATGAAGATCGCTAAAACTGAACTGTAAAAATACTTTGAAAGCAAATTACACCTAAGAGAGATGACCCTAATGCTTTTTTAAATCATTCTAAGATTAAATGTTGGAACGTTTGAAATGAATAGGGCATAGGGGGATAACTGGAAATAGAACGCAGCCAGAAAATATACTTCTCTAACTAAAGCCCTAGAGGTGTGGTGGAAAGCGTAAAAGTCTGCGATGCAGTTTGCGGATGTTTGTTGTTGCGATGAATTTGGCAAGCGGCAAATCAACAAGCTATGTTTGTAATGACGAACTTGCGACCTTAGTTGGCTAACAATAGTTTTGAGAAACACAGCCTAGTTTATTATTTACCTATAGGCTACAGTTTTTAATATGTTTTTAGTTTGTTTTTATTAAGTTTTAACAGATTCCTAATTGCATTTTTTTAAATGATCAGCTTTGACATCCAAACGTTTATATTCATATAATTATTAATCAACCTGTTTTTAAACGGTCTGTCTCTAAAAGTGAGGGGGGCGTACTGATAAGAAAAATTGTGCATAATCTACAACGGAAACACAACTTCCAGCATGCGCTTCAAAAAAAAGTCATGTGATTTTGTTTTAACAGATCATGTCAGAACCAAAATAGGCATGATGTGACGTTATTTATAAACAAACCAGCAAAGCGAGCACATTATAAAATATCTGAATGGTTTTTCCTCAGCCAAAGTCTGTCATCAACAGCTACAGTGCATTCTTTGCTTTTCAGAAGGTGCAAGTATTTGATGAGAAAAACAGCCCAAACTAGCTTTTCCTACCACTGCAACATCCATTTTTATGTTTAAAATTTGGCTCCAGTCTATCAGGACATAACAGTTTTGTTCTCTTTGACTCATTGGATGTAAAAGCTGCTTTATTTGCAAATGTTTTATGCAATATTCCAGCGTTGTGTCTAATTCACATCACTTCTATGGAGGAAAACATAGCTATAGACTTCAGAACATTATATCAGTGTTTCTCAACCACGTTCCTGGAGGACTACCAGCTCTGCAGATTTTCCATCTCTCCTTAACTAAACATACTAGATTCAGATTATCAGCTCATTAGGAGAGACTGAAAGACCTGTAATATATGAGACATCCAAAACATGCAGTGTGGTGTGTGTGGTCCGCCAGGAATGTGGTTGAGAGACACTGATATAAACGGTTTAGTTACTGAGGAGATTTGAGTAGATTTTTTCTATTAGATATAAAAATCAGTGGGTGGAGCTAAACAGACTATCTTCCTCTGTGAATTAATAATTATATTATATTTTAGCCACATGATTATTTAATAAAGTGACACATTCACAGCTTCTTGTTTGGCAGATTGGCATCTATATTCACTATAAGACTTTAAATAAATAAATATTTGTATTATTACAGTACTGTGACCTCTTATTTATTAAAATATTTCATGCGATATTCCAGTTTTGCGCAAAAGTCCTATTCACATCTTTAGATGAAAACTTAGCTATAGACTTCAGAACATCTCTATGATTTGGTTACTGAGTAGATTTCCCCCTCTCATTATTTTCCTATTACATATCAAAATCGATGTGTGGAGCTAAACAGGTCATCTTCATCTGTGAAGGCAGTTTTTAGCCAGTTGTTTTGGCAGATTGGCTTCTGTATAAGCTATATATAGTATTTATAGTACTGTGACCTCTTATTTGTCCATAGATCATTGATTTCTCAGTTCATGACCTCTTTAAAAGGAACCCTGTGTGTTAAGACTCCTATGAGTGATTATGAATAATGTCCGTTACTGAAATATGTGATAGAAATTCTAATGGAATGTTTGCATTGTTTCAAAACAAAATCCAGATTTATTTTGGAGCATGGAGCCACCTTTATTTTAGGTGCGGAGTGCTTGATGTCAAATGGTTGACCTCGGTAAGCTAATGGCACTGGCTGCTGCTATTTCTACCTCAACTCAACTCTGAAGATGAAATAGCTGCTGATAGAATGCCACATTGTGTGGTTGTAGTCGTGAGTCAAAGGGTAAGAAGAGAGGTGATGTTAGCAGCAGTATAGCTCACGGAGGTCAACTATTTGACCAAAAATAGTATGAGGTATCCCTCATAGTCCAAAATAAATCTGGATTTTATTTTTGAATGAAGTAAAATCTTTCATTGGTCTTCTACCACATAATGCAGTAAGAGACATGTGAATTATATTAAGCCACACAGGGTTTTTTAAAACCTTTCACATGCAAATAATTAGCATAACCCCGGGTTTGCAAACCATCGAGAGCTGATGCACTTCCACATACTTCCATTTTTTCTTTTTCTTTTGACATGTCTGAATGTGTTGCATGTGGAAAACCCACATGAAATATACTATAATCATTTATATTAAATACTTTGTTGTTTTTAACTCTACTGTAGTATTTTTACTAGCTATATTAGTAATTGCATATATAATATTGCATATTTATATTAGCTATATTGAAGCATCTACAACTTGTTGTTAATGAAAGCTACAGCATACTGTTGTATTAACAATAGTGAACTGATACAAATTGTAAAATATAGAGTAACACTTCATAATAACTACACATTATGAATCATTTATTAAGCATTAGCAAATAGTGAATTAATAGATTAATTGTTAAGCATTAACTCTACATTAATAGACATTAGTAAGCAGTTTATAACTGTAGATAATAATGCTCATTCTTGACTTATTAGCACATTAATGTGCTTAATGATTGTATTTTCATACTTTAATTATTATTTTTTTTATTTACAAACCAGTTATTTTAGAGAAGTTGCTGGTTTTTAAACATTATTCAGAATGTGCAAGTAAATGATTATAAACTATTTAAATTAACATTTATATATACGATTATTCAGGCTTATACTAATAGTTACTTTGCATGTTAAATGCTTTATTCACTCACCTTCATCCAGTTTTGTGACTTAAAGTGAGGACTATTCATGCTTTATATATCCATTATGAATGGCAATTTAAGGATCAGTTATATTCTAAACAGGAAAAAAAGGACAAAAATGACTCTTAATTGTTTATTTGTTTGAAGATACACAAGAGAAACTCAAATGAAAAATAAATCTTTGCCATCTTAACTAAAATTAAATTAATGTGCAGTTTAAACATTGCTAAATAACTTTGAAATGTTGTATCATATTATGTTGTCAAACTATTATATTGTTTTGTTTTATCTAATTTTATGTTATATTGTGACACCCCTGTTATTCAGCAATGTTTAAAGTTTACAGTAATTTTTTTTTTTAGATAATATTGCAAAGATGGATTGTTCATTTGATACTAAACTTTTAATTGTCATTTATCAGGGATTTATAAAGCATAAATAGTCCTCACTTTAGGTCATAAAACTAGTTGAAGTTGGGTAAATTTATAAACAGAAACAATTAACTTTTAGTATATGCCTAAATAATATGATAAAAATGTTGATTTGAATATTTTATTAATCATTTACCAACTCATTCTGAAAGGTCTTAAAAAAACAACTACTCTTAAATACAAGTGATTTGTTAATAATGCTTTACTTAATTTAGTAAGGCAAAATTAATCAGTAACAAAGTATGAAAGTAAAATTATTAA